GAACTTTCTGGATCAACACCAGCCTGGATTGAACATTTTAGTTTCTTTACATTTTCAAAGACCGACATTTCAAACTGTGTCCATTCAGTCTGCTGGAAGCTGCTCAGTCTGCATCCAGAGGACGAAGCATTTGTCCAAAGTAGCTTAGAATAGGTCCAAATTACACAAAAATGATCCAAAATGCCACCAAAATGTTTCAAAATGACTTAAATATTTTCCTAAATGAGTCAGAAACTGTCAAAAACTTTAAATAAGTCCCAACAACACAAATACAGTCCGAACGAACCTAAAACCTGCTTCAAACACAACTTAAATCATCCAGATGACATCAGAACTCTCCAAAATGACCAAAAAAATGTTTTAAAAAAAACTGAAATATGAATCTAAAGCTACACGAAAACAACTCAAACTAATCTAGAGTTAGTCAAAAATAACATAATAAATTAAAATTAGTCCAAATTACACAAAAAGCTTCAAAATGACTCGTATATGATCTAAAACTACAAAAAAAGTCTAAAATAACCTGAAATCTGTCCCAAAATAACTTCAATTCTGTCCAAATTACACAAGAATTGTCAAAAGTGACTCACATTTTGCCAACAACTGCACAAGAAAAGCTTAAAATCACCTCAAACCTGTTTTAAAATTAGTTAAAATTTGCCAAAAATAATTAAGAATCGTTCCAGGTTACATAAAAACTCCAAAATGACCCAAAAGTTCCAGAAACGCTCAGAATTAGTCGACAGCTCCAGAAAAATAGTTTAAAATCATTCAAAGTTATCAAAAACAAGTTAGAATCAGTCCAGATCAACACTCTCCAACATGACTCAGATATTATGTAGAACTACACCAGAACCGTCCAGAACCGGACCACCTGGCTCTGCTCTGGGTGGTCCGGGTCCTGGAGGTCTGGCTGTTCCCTGTGACTGACCTCCGGCCTCCTCTCAGGGGGGACGGCGTCCCAGCAGCGGGGCTTCCTGGGCTGCATCCGCTCCCTGACGGTGAACGGCGCCGTTCTGGACCTGGAGGAGCGGGCCCGGATGACGCCCGGCGTCAGCTCGGGCTGCCCCGGATACTGCAGCGGCTCCAGCAGCCTCTGCCACAACCGAGGACGCTGCGTGGAGAAGAGCAACGGATACATCTGTGACTGCTCGCAGTC